TTTTTTTTTTTTTTTTTTTTTTTTTTTTTTTTTTCTGTCAATGACTTCACCAAAGTATATAAGCGCTCATATGGGGGTTCCTCAAACACCCCTGTCTAGACTTGATCTGCACAGCAATTCATGGCCTTTTGAACATGCACAAAATACAGCGCGCGCGAAAGGAGCGCGAAATCTATGCAAAGGGGCTCGCAAATGGTTTCGCTGTGGTCCTGCAATGTCCAACTCATTCCTCGCAATGCTGGCCGCAAAACAAGATTTGCTATTATGCCTGTGGAGACATGAGTATTTCGTTGATAGAGCATGATCACTTGCCAAATTTTGATTTTATGGTGTTTTCGAAAGGGAGCGAAACGGCCGCGAGACGGCGCACGAACGACCATGTGCGGGAAAGGAATATTGCCCTTAGTTCACCTGAGTTTGCGTGGGCTGATCCAACATGATCCAACACACCAGATATACGATGGCCAGTCTGCCGTGCATCGTCAGAATCGCCTCGGTCGTGGCTCGCGGCTCGCACCTAGAAATCTTCTTCCTCCGCCGCCAAAGAGTCTTTGCGCTGCAAAAACGTAGGCCCCAATGTTTGGGGAGGCAGGCTTTGCCTGCAAGTCGTGCCCCCGACGTGAAGGTCCCTTGAGCAGGTCACAAACCTGAGTTGACCGTTCACTGCCAGGCATGCGAGCGACACACACTCATGAGCTCTTGGCTATACAAATGATGTACGTTTTAGACCGTAGAGTATCCAGGTCACGAGGCTTAAGCTTTAGGGCTTTCCCACCATCCTCTGTATGGTACGTGGGTTTGTCATTGTCGAACAGCACAGTCCTGTACTGACCCTGCAGAATCGTTTGAATATGGTTTGTCGTAGGTTATGGCACTGACTTAAAACAGGGCACGCTCAACGTCTATGCTTCGTCCCCTCAAGTATGAAAGTGCAACGTTCCATTGGGGGCCAGCTTGCCAAAACATGTTCATCCCCTACTTCCGCCTGTTATCAAAGCGTGGGATCTGCAAGTCTTCAGGCGCATACAAGGCGTTGGATGAAATTCGTTGTTGCTGAGTCAAGCGCTGCCGAATTTGGTATAGGCCACATGTGTCCATGATCCGTTAGTTGTGCAAGACTAGAGCACTCCCTATGTAGACAAGCTTCCCAAGTTCCCACCTTATCGGCGTGTAGGAACTGCAAAATATCCAAAGCCTCAAGCTGTTCGCCCCGCAACTGCCAGGCAGCTATGATGCGTTGCCACTCAAAAGTCTGCCACAATGTGACAACGATCCTGAATGAAGAGCCGCATAAGCAGCCAGTGCTGTGCTTTGCTGTGCTTTGTGTGTGGTCACGCTCGATAGCAATGCATGCATGCAAAAAATGAATGGCACTAAGTACTGGGATTTTTCAGGTGCAGTGATAGCAAGGTATTCCGGCCTGAAGAACGCAGAGACTCTACAGGTCCTGGAGCCTGTCTACCGTGTTGGCCAGCGGAATGCATCCCATCTTCGCGGGAAAAAGGGTTGCTGCAACCAAGTGTGTGCAAGTCGAGCAAGCGTTTCTGCTTAGCCTTAGCCTGCCCAGGAGCTGGTAGGACTGTTGAGACTCTTGGGTACGATTCTGAATCTGCAGTTCTAGAGTAGCTCTAAAGTGACTGGCGCCGCCTCCGCTGATGTCGTGTGTGAGGCGTCTCATTGGGTGAAATTTCGAGGACACGTGCGGGTGAAGTGTGAGCGCCAGGATGCCCCTTGTATGTCAGGGGCTCTTCGGGGTCCTTGGCGTAGTTTTTGTGGGCTGCGACCCATTGAAGGCGCGGGAAGCTGCCATCCACTAATGGTTCCAGCTTTCTACTTTCTCCTTGACCTGGGGACTGGTCACGCTTTCCTTCACTTGCTGTAGCAGCGAGTCGGCTCCTTCTTGCTCTCCCGCCAATGGTTGCCCAGGAGGTACAGGGAGTGGACCTTGCTCCATTCGTCCGCAGGTGCTACCTGAGGTTTTCTCACTATCATTGGCGTGTCGTGCTGGATAACCTCAAATATTGTCTTCCTCTTTGAGCATCAACCGCCCAATTGCTTGAATGGCCCCTTGAAGGTCCTTCTCCGCTGACTCCACTCAATGATGCCTTATGTTGCTTTGCTGAGATCGACCATCTTTTCGCTCTTGGCTGTGTGCGCATCTCTTTCCTGGCCTCTCCGGCCTTTGGCTCCTTGCGCGTGGCTGCTCCGTCCGCCTCCATTGGTGGATCCTTCCTTGTTACCTAATGGCCTCCGACGCCTGGGAATTGCTGATCGGTGCTATGAACCCCGAACAGACCTGCTAGCACGGCTTGACTTGGCGGCTTCGGGGAAGCTTGCTTGTGCAGTAATGTGGCATGCCTTGTGGTGCGCCTTGGCTTGAGTTTTAAATGGCGCCAGCAGCAAGGATTACAGAAAACGTGGCAGTTTCTGGCGAGCGGTACGATGCTGCTTCGTGGCATGCTTAAATATGCCTACTTACATGGGTGTGCTGCGCTTTGACTCCGCAGGCGGGGCAATGATTGGGACAACTCAACTTTCTGCCAGCGGTTTGGCCGCCCCTTGTTCAAGGACTGCGATGGTGTCAGAAAGCTAAAATGCGCACGCTGGCCCGGCTGCAGTGTTGTATGTCAGCCGTCGATGCAGGCGTCCCCTGAGCAGGATTGATCGATTCAGCGCAGGCTCCGAAGTTTTCAGCTCAATGTGCAATATGGGGCAAACTTTTTTGATTAACATGTGCCATGCACGCCGGCCAACCACTGAGGCGTTTCATGCAATGCCAACACTGACTTTGGCTCCAGCCTCGGGCTTGAGCTGGTGGCTACGGCCGCGCCGGTGGAAAGCCCCGCGTATCCCGCATGAACCCTAAGCCCCCAACTAGTGTAGATCAGACTTCAGGTCGTACGTGTTTTTTTGAAATCCGAGCGGCTGCAGAGAAGAGCCTCCATCTTCCCCTGTGCCTAGACATGGTTGGAATGAAAGTAAGCAACGTTGAAAAAGGTGAAGCAAAAGTGGGGAACATGCTAAGCGAGCCAGAGCCAATCAAGAAACAAATAATTCTGAACAGCGGATGTGAAACAAAAGGTGGAAAAGGTAAGACCAAGCAAAACATCGACGTTCTATCTCTTCCAGCTACCTCTCATTTATGTTTTTAACCTTTAACTCCATGTGTTGACATAAAAATGTACCACATACACTTTCATAAAGCTAGCTGCCAGCGGACAGATGCTCTAACATGCCACATGACGTTGTGAACAGGAGCAAAGGGAAGGCATGCGGTTGGGTTACTATTTGAAGGAACGAGTCATCGTATGTGGACGTGAGGGTCGTCATCGAGAAGCCTTGCGTTGCCCTGAATTGTTAAGCTCAGGCGGTGTGAAATTGATGTTTCGCAACTGGTAAATGCTGTGTTGCTTCTGCTTTAGGCGCATCTTGGTGTTGGATTTGAACGATCTCATGCGGGCAGAAGTCTATTGTCGGCTGGTCATGGCAAGTTGCACAGCTTCTTTTCTGGAGTTTGTTCTGGATGATTTGTGACTCTTGGTGACTTGCATGAGGCCAAAGAGCTACACGCTGGAGTGAAGGCGACGTGCATTCTAGATAAGTCTTTGCAGGGTTCAGGTCCTGGCCATGCCCGCTACTCAAAAGAGTCATACGATTCCTTCAGCACCTAATGAGAAATCAACGTCATTGGGCTCAGGGGGAAGAATGGTTGCAATGCTGAAGCTGAGAGTCTTAGAGAAATTAACGAAAGTGCACCAGAAGTGGAGCCTTCAGCTTATATTGATCCGACTCAACACGGGGAAGCTTACCAGGTCTATACATAGTGGGGATTGACTGAGCTGGCGCAGGATGAAGTGTCGGTCTTCAGCGTTGATCTGCCATCTTGGGCGCGTGGAGTAGTTTTTGGGCACCGCTGGCGAACGTAGATGGGAAATGTAGGGATCAGGCTGCACAACTTTGCTGCACGATCACGCCAGGCCAAAGAAGCCCACTCCTGGTGACAAAGTGCTTGATGGCTTTCATGAGGACTGCGGCTTGAAAGACAGTTTGCCGATAAGTCCCTCGCCCTGTGAGGACCCAGCAATGCTAGCACTTCGCCTAGACACTTATGAGCCTCAGCATTCAATTTTGACGCTTGACCTTTGAGAGAGTTAAGGCCAAAGACCCTGCTGAAGCAGCGCGCCCTCTGATGCTGTTGCTGCAAATCTTGCCTGGAACACAGGAAGTTGGCAATTCTGGTCGACTTGGAACCACAAAGCCGGAAATTGCCATCAGAAAATGATGAGCTCCGTTTACATTGAGAGCAGCTTAACTTTTCGGCGAGATGCAAGCTGGCCTGTTTGTAGCAGTTTTCATTGCCTGAATTGGTTGAAGTGGTTTGGCAGTAGCCGCCTTGAGGTTGGAAGCCCATGAGGGAGCAGCTGCGACGCCGGAGGATCACAAGAAGGCAGGTTCCTGAGCTCATTCATGCAAGCAGGTGCTACGCCAATGAACTACAGTTGTCACAGAGGGTTGCGGGGAATCTGTGAAGATGTTCTGCCAATTGGTCTCCATCGAGTTAGACTTTTTCAAGAGGCTCTTTTGAAGATGGCTTACACGACAAGCACCTCAACCACGCAGATCGCTGCGAACGCAAGCCGCCAGCTTTGCTAAACTCCATATTTCCATCCTGACGTGTCCGTGTTTATGAAACCCCGCGCTCCGAGCTAGCACGCGCTGAATGTCCCGGCGTAGGCGTTTCTCAATACAATCGTTCTTTGGAGATCATTCGATTTAGCCGTTTTGTCCCATAGACCTTTCGAAGCCGGCACCATGGTGATGAACGCTCTGGAAGAAGGTTTGCACTTGCCTCTGCGCTGCTTTTGCTGACTTCTTGTGACTTAGACATGATGAGCATGTGCCGCATGTTGGAGTCAAATTTGACAGCCATGGCGTGACTAAGTCTCAGACTGCAGGTTGCTGCAGAGTACCGCGATGCAGCACTTTCCCTCTTAATGGGATACGCTGCCCATCGCGATCTTCCTCCCAACGAGGCGTCTTCAGCAGAGACTAGCAGCTTAGCAAGAATCTTCACAGCTTTGAAGTATGAGTAGAACAGGTTCCTGTCTGACAGCAGGTGCTGGGATGCTTACCTGCCCGTTGGCCCCTTGAGGCTGAAGCCTTTGTTTGGCCGAACGCAGCCTGTGTGGGTGAAAGACGGTTGTGTGAAGGGCATCTCAGACTACCTCAGCAAGTGTGCTCGCATCTGTTTGCATAAGCAGCGAGCCAGTGACCGCCTCAGTAGGTTCGCTGTTTTGCAATCGGCTGAGACCATGGAGCTGAGGCATGCTGGAAGAGAATCTCAGTTCCATGGCCTATTTGAAGACGTTCAGCGCCTGGGCCAAGGAGCGCATGAGAAAGGTCTGAATCCAATTTGAGACACTGACCTAGTCTGGAATTCACCAGCAGAAGCTGCATGACACTGCCAGGTCAACATCACCGCCGATAGATGCTGTCCAGTGTGCAACAAGCGCTTCGTGGACAAGGACAAGTACGTCAACCAATGTCTAGCGGTCCCGGACTGCGGGATGCGTTCAGCTAGCTAATACGTTCGCGTATGATGATGTTCAGGACTCAGTCGGGAAAGCTTTTGTGGCTTACCCAAATGAGACCTGCGTGCATTTCACTTGCAAGGACACTCCGTGAAGTCTGACATGGAAGTTTGCGCAACATACATGTCTGGCAATGCAATGCAGGAACATGCCTCCATCTGTCCAAAGACGGGCAAAAACTTTGCTGACAATCTGTCTGTGTACTGCCACGTGCTTAGCAGCTTAGCATTTCTCAACAAAGTCTGCGGAGAGCATCCAGAAATCTGCAGAGTTGCTCTCAGGTCATGCTCTCAGGGTAGGACAGGATGAGCAAAGCTGACATGTGGCTGCGGATTGCGGTTCATACTCTTTGCTTCGTCGAAAATTCAAAATCCAAGTTTTGCATGAAGCTTGGTCCACGAGCCTGCCAGCAGACGAGACCGCAGGATATTGTCTTCAAGCTCAGAATTCCTGACAACAGCTGCCCATGCAACCATCCTTTCGTTTCAACTACATTTTATTTGCTAGTTCTTATTGTTACATTAGCTTGAGCACCTTGCTAAGAGTGAATTGCTTGTAAGTCTGCTATTCTGGTTTTCTGCAGAGCTTTGACAACATGCCCTCTTTTCTTCAGAATTGTACAGCGAGTACGGCCTAGTCCTGCATGGAGCGGTCCTGATGTTGATCACCAGGTGTGACGAAAATTTCGAGTGCTGCATGGCGCCTGCTCTACCCAGAATATGCTGCAAGGCAGAACGAACATCCTGGAGGCAGACAGAGGCTATGAGATGCGAGGTGGCATCACCGAAGACGTCGACTGGAGGAGGGTGCGAGCTTGTGGCCTAAGTGGCGTTGAGATTGCGTAGAGGAAAGCCGCCGGCTGCTCTCTACAAGGCTGTGGACCTGCCAGAGGCACGTTTGTGTGTAGTGTAGGAGTAGTGTAGGACTGTTGGTTGTGTAGCACTTCAAAGGATCACGACTGTAGCTGTTCGCAACATCTTTGGCTCTTAGCTTGAGTTCGGAACGAATGCCATCTGCAGAAGAGACAGTGGCTTGGCTGGCTCGAATAGCTTCAGAACACCCTACGACAAAGCGCGGGTTTACGGACCTTCTGGTTGGCAGCCGGGTTGCCACCGGTTGTTCTGGCGAGTTGACCTGTGGAGCGGGGCAGGTCCACAGATTCTGTGCTTACAGGTGGCATTGAATGACAAGGGAGGGGCGTGCTTCCATCAGGTGCAACAAGGTTAACGTTTCAGCATGTCCAGCGGTTCCAGCGAGCTGCATCGATCACCAGAGTCGATCCCATTGTAAGACATACGGCCGCAATGGGGTTGCACGAAGCAATTCTTCACGCTGACAGCATTTCTGCCCCTGTGGAGGCATCATCAGAATTGCTGTAACTCAAGATGCCAAAGTTCCCACTACTTTAGCAGCTTCTTAGCACTTCTTTTCCATAGACCGCAGTACCTGCCAAGCATTGTCGAGTTCTTTTCTGTCCTCGTCTGCTGATTTGCCCACCTCCTCTGCAGACATGCTCGAGGTCCTCCTGATGCTCGCAATGCCGTCCTTATCTATCATTGCAGTGGTCTTCCTTTGCCCTTACACTGTACACCCTTCCATGGTTGGAGCTGCGGGCCTTTCTCTATTTGCGAGTTACCACTTCGTGATGATTATTCTGACGTCAGACCACTGGCGAGTGAATCTCAGGACATGGCGCCAAGGAAGACCATGACGACTCCCCCCAGGTCAGGCACACAGTCAGTGCTGCAGTGCTAGCATGCGTCCTGAATCCTCCGAGCTTGTTCGACTGTTCTCTGTCTGCTTTTGGCGCCAGCAAGCAAAGTCAAGCGGCCGCCAAAGATGCTGCGGACTTATCTGACATGTAGGTTTTGACGATAATTGGTGCTCTGTCCTGCACTTGACGAAGGCAGACGGAACTCCAGAAGCTCCTGCAAAGCAGGGCCCTTGCTTTCTCTACTTTCCTGAGAAGCAGTTAAGCTGTTTGAGGCGGAGACGGCTAGTTCAGAGCACCATTCAAATTACTCCAACCAAGCCTGTGCCGCAGCCCAAGCACGGCCTTTCACTTCTGACACTGAATCGCATGCTCATGCAATTAAGGTCACAAGCAGGCGAAATCGTTGTTGCTGATGCTCTGGGGAGGCTTTGCTTATCTAGAGAAGTTTGTGGGAGCTGGGGAGACCTGATTCGATAGGGCTCTACGAATACAGTGGGGCGCATCATGATAATCCGAAGATATGTCACGATCCCCTTGCCTCGATGCCTCGAACCCATGAATACCTCCTATGACCCTTCCAATAACACTCCAAAGCCTAGGCCTATGCCCGAGCTGTCCCCCCAGGTGAACCCTGCCCCAGGTCCCAGAAAAACTTTTCACACAACTTGCCACCTACACATTCGATTTGTGTGTGTCATCCTTCAGCGTATTGCCATGCTGACAAACAGTTTTGGAGTCGTGTTTAAGAGTTCTGTAGCAATGAGACGGTACATCTTGATTAAGCAAGCGCCGTGTCCAAATTGAGGAAGCCACAGCGACAGCTCGCAGGATCTCTTCATCAGGGAGCGCTTGCCTCATTGTCCAGTGGCATGAGAAGGCTGCATGAGCTCGTGGCTGCCTGTGCATGTGATAGCATCCCATCTGCAGACGAGCTCGAGTTAGAAATGATCTGCGCCACCCACAAAGGAAACTGGTCCGTGGTCACTGTGGCACAGTAGCGGTGCTGCTGCTGACAAGGGTGCGAAGGCTTCTGAAGTGAGCAATGCTCTGCTGATTAGATTGCATACCTTGTACTGCTCGCAGCCGTGCAGGAGTTGCAGTCTCCAGCTTTCGATCCGAAACTTAGAGAAGATGAGCTGCCCTGGCATGTGAAAATCTCACGCCCAGCCTAAAAGTGTTCCAAGCTGAGAGGTTCCCCGTAGGGAAGCCGGTTAGCTTCTCCTTGCTATCTGGAGCGTTGTTGGAGATAGAGGACCTTCGCTGCTGTACTACTGTGGGAAGGGCGAGGCAGAGCCATCCTGCAAGGAACTCAAAGGCAGTGGGAAGGGATCTCGCAAGACGATGACGGTGGAAAGCTCAGAATAGGTTCATGGCAGGATTGGGTTAAATGCTGCCGTGAAGTTGCGAGGTCATACTCAGCAACTTGTTTCGGCTGCTGATGCATGTGCAGCCACAGGACAGTACGCTTGCCACGCCTCTAGGAATTCGGCTGCTAAATCACAACAGAAGGACAGGGTGTGATTACAACAAAGGCTTCGATGGAGCAGGCACATGCATCACTCAGGCATCTTGACAGACGTGCGAATCGACAGAAGAAGCGAAACGGGGGTCCTCGCAAGACTCTGTGGGCTTGATATGTTTCATGCGTTCTCAGCTGGAATCACCTCAGGACATTATCGCAGCGATTTACATCCTGATAAACAAGGCCTGTGCAACTCCAATGCCGTGAACAAGAACTCTGTTGCATGAAAACTCTGATGCTTGTGCTTGCAGCCTCTCTGCTTGCAGTGCGCATTCGAAGGTTGCGCCAGATTATGAGGCGGCTGAGCTGGGCGTTGGCGATTCCATAATCATCAAGTCTCTGTGCGAGAATTTTGGCCGGCTCGAGCCTGAGAAAGGCAAGTCTCAAGAACAGTGCGACGTGGGAAGCCGTGTTCAGCCGTTGCTGGGCACTGCAACTCACAAAGAATGGCCGGGGACAGCCGAAACACGCATCATTTCATGAGCAAGGCACTGGACAGAATGCCGCAACTGGAATTATCTCCAATTTTACCAGGTCGGAGGCCACCATTAAGCATTCCCTGGCAACAGGGGAGGCGAAGGCGTTGGATCTCTGTTCAGACGCAACCTGCCAGTTGAAGTGAGCATGCGGTATGCTATGAGCACGGGTAGCGCCCCAGGACCTGGGGGAGGTGGCGCTGCAAAGCCGAGTGCCTAACCCTTATCCAGAAGAGTGGCTGCTTCCAGCTTTTCCAGTGTTGCACAATGATGCACAGTGCTTGGCCCTTTGGTGTGAAGCCAGCTGGCTTCAGCCCACGGCAGTAGCACTGTATGATCTATGGACACGTTAAATAGATGCTCACAGTTTTGCTTCGCTCCAGGGCAACTTCTGTCTCAGTCTCATCGAAGAGCTAGCTTCCACCTGGCACGTGCAAATTGTTGGCACTCTGTTGCAAACCGGTTCCAGCGTGTTGGTATGGTGTTGTGTCGGACTTACATGTAGAGGCCTGTGAGCAGCTAGCATGGCCTACAGCTACGATACGCTATTTGCGCATGAAGATCGCCACAAGCTCCTTCAGCACAGCGCGTCCAATCTGCGAAGATGGATGTACAAGTTTCAATCCAGCGGCATACAGGCTGGCTTGATCTGGATTTTGCTCCTCCTTTTCGGCTTCCGTCAGCCCAGAGAGGCAGTTCAGCGTGCCATTGCTGGAGCTGTAACCAAAGGCTCCAGTATGATCAAAAGCGTGTCAGCCGGAACTCTTCAGCGGCTGCGGCGGCTTGCACCCGGGCAGAGGGGAGACTTCGAGAGCGCATTGGAGGAGACAATGGCTGTGCTTGAGCCGACACAGCAGGCTCAGTCCCAGCCAACTGCTCTTCCCAGCCCAGCAGGAAGCAAGTGGGATCAGCTTTTCCAGGTGATTGAAAAGAATATGGACATGCTGCTGGTTGGATTCTTGGGCTACAAGCTGGGCCTTCTTGTGCTGTACACAATGCCAATCTCTTATGGCTTTGGGACCAAGTTGCTGTTCTTGAAATGGGCCTCTCGTGCCAATCTCTTCAGGCTGTACCTGAGACTTTCACCCTTCATTTGCCTTGGTTTGGTGGGAATGGCAAGTGCCGCTGTCCAGCACTTCAAAGCTACACAGACCCTGAATGCTGTGACAGTCCGCAGATGGAGGGCTCTGGCGATCTTGAATGGCATCCTGACATACTGCACAGCCCGCTTGTTTGAGCTGATCCGTGGAGATGCACGACCCTTCATTGCACTGGAGGAGTCTGCCCAGGATCGAGATTTGCTGGCCTTTGAACCTCCTGCCAAAGGAAGCACATTGCTTCGCATGATGCAAGCGCTCTTCTGGCCTCAACGCAAGATGAGTCCCCCTCAGCTGTTTGGAGCTGAAGAGCTGGGTTCAGACAGGAGGCGTTTGCTGTTTGTTGGGAACCACGCCATCTTAGGCATCGACGCGCCTCGGCAAACAGCAAAATGTTTCAAGAGAAAACGTCAGTTATTCAACTACGCCTTCGCGCTCTAGTGTGAATGCATGCTTAGCAGAAGCTGTGTTCCACAGAAGTGGCAGTTCAGGGCCGACCCTGATAATTGGACCTCTCTGCCTGTCATGGGCCCAAGCGTAACAATGAAAGAATAGCTAGGGGGCGTGGCAAAGCCACAAGATTGGAGACGCAGCGTGGGGTGGAGCGTGGTGGGTTTGGAGTTCACAGGGCGTTTATGAGTGTTGACTGCAGCTACAACAGTGCGGAAGGGCTGACCCATGCCACTAGGCTTTCACTTTCAAGGTAGAGGATCATGTTGATGTCAGCCGCGTGGCGCCTGAGGTACCACTTTTGATACACTGTCTCTATGCGGAGCTCCTTGGCCAATCTCAGGTGTTGGGTCCATGCATTTCCTGAAGCCTGCCAACCTTGATCTTCTTCAGCTGAAGGGCCGATATTTGGCCTCGACCTCTTGGTGAGCACGCCTGGTTTTCCGTGCCAATCATCGGCGAACTCATGTATTCGATAGGTGCCGTGGACGGCACTCGCCGTAACTGCATCTCGTCTCAGAGCTGAGTCTCCTTGAGGTTCCGGGTCGGCCCTTTGCCAGCTCCGAATGACGTAGCTTGCGCTGTCGTTCGACATGCGGATACATCTGGCTTGTTCACGGGTCGCAATCTGCACCAGGCGATTTGTTGATGGAGCAGGGCTGCTGCTTGCTGGTCTATCCTGGTGGAGCCCGCGAAGCCTGGAAGAGAACGACAGATAAACCGTACGATGTGCTTTGGGGTGGCTTGCTGAGCCAGTCGCAGTGCACGTAGGATATGTAGGCTTTCAACCATCCACGTGCTTGCGTTCTTGTCCAGCGGTAGAAGTTGTTGTCATAGCCGAGCAGCTGTGGCCATCAGCACGCTAAGGTGAAGGCACTCTTGGATTTGTACGGATGGCTGTCAGGCATGGCTACACCATTGTTCCCATTGCCACAGTTGGAACGGAGGATATTGTTCAGCCGGTATATGACGTCCCAATTCGGGATGTCTTGACTGCTGGAGGGACTCTTGATCGCAATTGGTTTTGAGGTTGTGTTGAGCCACGCAAGATGCTTAAAGTATGCGCGTAGGAGTCGCGTAAAGGCAATTGATGCCTGCGTTGATGCTGGGAGGATGCTGAAGCCTCCGGAGACTAGCTCGAAAGCCTTCGAAGAAGGTGCACGCTTTCCTGTTGTGATGCCAAAGCCGGGGCAGGCAACTTGGCTGCTCACACATGCGCCATAAGCATTGTAGGATAACTGCAAGTTTGCTGCTATGCAAATCTATTCAAGAACGGGCCTTTGGATTGATTTTTTGTTATTTTACCGTTGCAGAGTAGAAGCGGGCAGCCGAGCTTACGTTTGCTGAGGCCCAGAAGGCAGGCTGGCTGCGAAGTCTCATGTGTCCTCGTGCAAGGGCCTGCCAGTTGACCGCTACTTTGCTTGCAGGTCTACTTCCGCATCATGCCCGTGCTGCGAACCGCGCAGTTGCAGGGCCAGGAAGAAAACGGAGACTTGCTGCGCAGCCTGCGAGATGAGACAAAGCGACGCTTGCAGGACAGCTGATGTGTAACTTGATCTGGGCCTGATCGTAAGTAAATCGCTGATCGTGAGTGATCCCAAACACATTGTGTAGATTCTCGCGCTTTGTGCAGGATGGCATTACTTGGCTCCTTGAGTTTCGCGAGTCGGATCCAGACAGATTCGTATTTCGCATGAACGGATCCTTGGACCGACAGTTTGGAAAGGACAGCATCGATTTGAGCTACCTTTGGAGAAGTCAAGAAGATTTCTTGAGATATGTCTATAGATATCATGAAATGACTTACTACCCCCTCCCTTACTCCCACCCCTCAACAACCCCAAATAGACCCTGATTAGTGCACTGATAAGGAATTTTTTCGGGAGCAGAAAGTAACCAAATAGACCTGGAATAGATTTTTTCAGCTCTACTTCCTGTAAACAGAAATAAGGCCGAATCAGAGCTAGTTTCCAACCATTACCCTGAACTAGTTTGGTTCGTCTAGAACATAAAAATCTAGGTCGGAGAAAAGAAGATTGGCAACCCTTTGGCATTCATATTCTGTGCTGCGTTGTGTTTGGCAGGCCTTGGGTGCGCAGGCATAACTGGACAGAACCTCCCTCCGCTGCTGGCCCAAAGGTCTTCATGATTATGGCAGCGGGGGAGGTAGAAAAACTTTCAGCCATGGCATGGAAGATCGCATCCGCGGTCTAGTGGAATCTCCGACCCCACTGCTTGAATGGCTGCAGCGGCATCAAGCCACTGATGATGTCGTCCAGATTCTTCTTGACTGGGGGCTAGAAACGCGCGCAGATTTGGCGACTTATTTCTGTCAACCCCCTGACGATGTGGAGGTGCGGAGGTTGTGGCACTTGGCCAGGGACATCCCATTTGTTGATGTTGCCGCGGCAGTCCGTGTAGCAGCACAAGCTGAGTATTCTATTCAAACAGACAAGTCAATTGTTCGCCAGCCTGCAATTTCTGTTCGAAGGCCTTTCTGTCAAGGTGTCAAGAAGTCGGCAATTCCTAAGAATGCGGCAGAGGCTACGGAGGCCAAGCTCCCTGTGGCGCGAGAATTAATCACGCTATCGTGGTCCTGGGCTCCTGAAGCTGGATTGGCGGCTAGTTTGCCAGCAGCGTTGGTCCATGTGGCCCAACATCGGCGGGACATGTGCGTGCTGCTCCGTTTCGACTTAGGTTGGCTGCGAAGCATTGCCCGGCTCTGGCACGCCGTTGAGGCTTGGATGCAAGGCCTGAACATCACGAAAGACCACTGGCCCCTCCCTCCGGCCTGTGTGGAGGATTTCTTGGACAGGTCTTTGACGGACTCGTCCGGCAGTTCCGGCCGTGCCTTGTTGTCCAAGCTCAAATGGACGGTGGCGCATTTATGTGCTCCTCTAAAACTGGATGGCGTGATTTTGCCAACTCCTCTGCGTCTTGGAAAAGGCAGAGCACAAGCAGTAGTCGCCGAGCCATGCATGGTTGCAGCAATTTGGCGTCGTTTCCATCTAGAGAACAAGGCCAATACTTGGCGACGAGTTGTTTTGGCAGTAGCCGTTTGCGCTTCCGTGAAGCCTTTGCGTTATGCGCGTGCCTTGCGTTCACGTCCAATTGCCAAAACGACTTGGTGGATGGCATTTTGGGCGTATCAAGGCAAAGTCCGTACAGATGGTGTTTTGCGCGGAGGCTTTTACTGGTTCGTCCCTTTGGTCACGCCTACACTACGGGAGGCTGCAAACTTGCTCTGGGATACTTGGACACGAGTCTGGAAAAAGACTGACGGCGACTCCCATTGTGTGGTAGTTGACGCAAACACTTTGGAGCCGGTACCGACAAGAGTTTTCAACCGCGTGCTGCACGAGTGTGTTTCAGACCACATCAGCCCCAACAACAGAGCGCGGTGCACATCCTATTCTTTGAGGAGATACCAACCTACGTTGCTAGATGTTCGAAAGGCCCCACTTCCAGAGCGGATGGCTTTGGGTGGCTGGGTCGACAATGGTGTCAGGGCGGACAACATCATGCCATTGCGTTATGCTGGCACAAAAATGCACGCTGAGCTGGAGATTGCAGTTGTCCAAGCACTGTTTACGGCCACGACGCTTCTGACATGTAGAACTTGGGAAGACGTGCGATGCTGGTGGCAGTTGAATGGGGCAGCTCAGGA